GTTGATAAGACTGATTGTTAGGTCCGCCTGCAGCTTTATATGGAACAACCACTGGGATCCTCACACCTTTCAGTCCTTTCTGGCTGACCTAACCTGATAAATCTAAAATAAGCTTCATGTGACTCATGATGGTGCTAAAGCAAACAATGTGAGTCACCGTTAAAACGTATTAAACGCTGCCATGTTTAAAGCTCGGAAACAGCACGTGGGAATCATAAGCAAAAATAGTGAGTCATCACAGACTTACTATGTGAAGTATAACATTAAACTTGGTCAAAACTCAAATACTGGATTACTAATAGGAAGTACTCATTGTAATCTCTGATGTCTGTTGACATTGCTGATTCATCACTATTGCAGAGAACAGAAAAGTACGCCTTAGCAGTCTTTAAATCTTGCTTTTGGCTGGTATCCTAAATCTCTCTTACTTCACCCTACAGCCTGGCTGACATCCCTACAGCCTGGTTGACATTTATTTTTAATCCTTCCCAACCTTGTTGAATTAGAAAAAGTGCTATCTAAACACAAGCAATATGATAACCTGGAATACAAATATAACACCACTTACGGACACAAGTCCTCTGCATGAGCTGATAAAGAGGGATTCCAGGCAAATTTCCGGCCTTTCTTTTCTCTCACTTTATCACTTTCTCAAGGACCACATCATTTTAGAGAAAATCAGTGCTCAAATGCCAAAATCAGGTTGAGGAAAATTGAATGGAAGACTTAAAAGCCACTTTTCCACTGCAGATACAGCTCAGCTTGTTTTGTTTTGGTTTTATTCAGCTGGGTGGGCATTTCCACTGTAGTGACTGTACCGCTTAAAGTGGGTAGAATTATCGCTAGTTTTAAGGATATCTATATGCTAGTGTACTCTAAAACAGACAAAATTTAGGTTTAGAAGATATAAACATTTAAAGCTTGCAGTTTGTCACTTTCGCCTAAATGGTCAACAATGTTTTTAACATTACGTCCACTCTATCTGTTGAGCTGAGGGAACGAAACCAACCCCGTGCCGTCAGACACAGTAATATACCAAGTTAACAGTGCCCTTACACTAAAAGCTATAGTAAAACATGCCCTTTTCTTCCAAATGGTTACATTGATCGACTTTGTTTAATATGTTTTCATTAAAGGGCACCTAGGTTACCCCTTTTTTCAGATTTAATATAAGTCTTTTGCGTCTCTAGAATGTGTATATAAAGTTTCAGATCAAAATACCCATCAGATTTTTCATTATACCTTTTACAAGATGCTGTTTTATACTGACTTCCAGCAGGGGGTGGTTTTGTCGTACTGCGCCTTTAAGACAAGTTTTTCCAGCCTACTGCTTCTACATGCCTCCTCCCTCAGCTGCGTCAGACAACAGACAGACTTAAAGGAAGAAGGTCTCACGTAGCGTTTGTGAGATACTACAGTAAGAACTAACCTTTACTAATCAGTATTGTGAAGTTGCATTGATGAGTCACACACAAAATCGTTACAAAGTAAATGCGCGCGCACACACACACACACCGCAGATGACACACACACACAGGCAGGCAGACAGACAGAGCGCGCTTAGCTTAGTTAAGGCTAACCTCAAGTACTGTGTGGATATCTGTTATGCTAATGTACAAAATAAACCTGATTTAACTTCCACAAACCGGGATTGAAGCGTCTTCTTTTATAATTGTTCTGACATGCGGCTGTGCTGATGAAGTAAAGCTGAAGTAAAACGCTGTAATTAATTACACACATACTCGGTTTTAAAACACTTTAAACATGTGAAACTTACCCTTAATCACATTTGATGATGATTGCTGATCCTAGAGATCAGAACAGACCTTTTATTCCCGGTTGCTTTGCGTATGTCTGTCTGGTCTTGTTGACATATACACGCGACTACCGGAACATGTTAATGCGCGCAGCTGTCAATCAATTCAGTGGGCGGGGGGATCGCACACCTACGTAATGGTGCGATCGATTTGAAAACAGCTCCAATTGGCCGACCCTTTTTTTGTAGTTAAATTGAAAAAAAGGACTGGGTGTGTTCATATCACCCCAGTATGACGGTCTATACACTATACCAACACACAGATCTGTCCAAACAGCTTGAAAAGTAGATTTTTTACCATAGGTGCCCTTTAAAGTGGAAACCAATGTGAAAAAATAATGTAAACTTTGCTGAGTGCTTCACTTCCACTTTAACTCAAAAGACAATCAAATGTGTTCTCCACTACTTGTCAAAGCTGTTGAAAAGCATTTCAACACCAGGTTCACACACCTGTACACTCAAAACATGACATTTACTGTTTGTTCAAACTACTTATTTGAAATAAGCTGAAGCAACCCAATTTTTTAGCTTTTTTGGAACAACTTAATTTTTTTATGTTACTAAGTTAACTTAATTCCTTCATGTTGTCCCAACACAAATCGGTCGTGTGAAACCCAGCATTTTTACAGTGTATTCACCATTGTCTAAGGTGTAAACATTGCCAGAGACAAAACACAGACAAACTTCTGTGCACCTGTCCCTTACATGGATGGCAGCCTATAACGGTCAATAAAACAAGCATAACTGTCAACATTGCACCAACATAAAGTTGTGCTAGAACAAGTCTCCCTCATTCATTCATGGAAAAAAATAATAATCCGAAGGCTGTTTTCATGTTGCTACAACTCCATTTGGCTGCAATGCAAATCTAATGAGATGCTCGGCACGGGCAGATTCAGTGCATCATGCTGCTATTAACCGTCTTAGTCATCATCAGAGCGAGCGACTGGAGTACACATTCCTGCCAAATGAACACCAAGCACCATGTCATGGTATCAACATACCTCTCTCTCACTCTCTCTCACACACACACACACACACACACACACACACACACACACACACACACACACACACACACACACACACACACACACACACACACACACACACACACACACACACACACACACACACACACACACACACACACACACACACACACTCACTCACTCACTGCCTCTACACAAATAATAGTCTTTTCTGTCTGCAAAGAGCCCTGGAGGACTGGAGGCTTTGGGGCAATGCCAAATCCCCATGGTTACTAGAATGCGGCAACTGCCTCTTTCCTGTGATGATGACGATGATGATGCTCATGAGATGAAAAGGAAACAGACCATCCGGCTCTGTTTGCTGGAGAGTGAGCTGGAAGTTTTTTCAGAAAGTTGACCTGCACTCAAGGTGCACACATTTGGCTAGTAATGAGGTACTATGACTCTTCTAATCATTTGAAGTCACTGGATACACCGGAATTTATAATGCAAGAGTTTCTCAACAATGACTCAGAGAAGTGAGTTGGTATAAAACACACATCATCATCATCATCATCATCTTTTTCATCTAAATATAGCAGGGGTGCAAGTCATGAGTAAGGCAGTTAACTTGTCTATCTAAATTCTCCTTTCAGGGTTAAAATATGTGAATTTTGTAGAGTTTTCTAGGCTTGGAAACCACTCATTTAAAAATGCCTGTTTTCCACGTCTGTGGGAATTCATTAATGTTACAAAAACAACACAAACTTCATAAAGTCTTATTATCATTTTAGTGTCTAAAGATGAAGATATATATATAAAAACAAAGAATAATAAAATTAAAAAAAGAGTATAAAGTTTGCTTAAAGACAGTTTATCCAAAAACAAAAATTCTGACATTTACTCTTCCTTCACATTTTTCAAACAAGTTTCATGTTTTTTTTTTTTGTATTTTTATTATTTATTTATTTATTTATTTATTTATTTATTGCTGTTGTTCTGTTGAACACAAATTAAGATATTTTAAAAATTGTTATAAACCTATTGACATTCATGTTAAAAAAATACTATGAAAGTCAATGGTCGCAGGTTTCCAACATTCTTTAAATAAATCTTGTGTGTTTAACAGAGGAAAGAATCTCAAAATTATTTTGAACATGTGAACGGAGAGCTAATAATGGCAGGATTTTCATTTTTGGATGAACTATTCCTTTAACTTTCGTTATTATTTCTTAAACATACAGTGATCAGCAAAAATGAGCACAACCCATTTTGAAAATTAATATTTTTCTCTTTATCTCAGTGAATATAGGTAATATATTTCAGTGAATTTGATCAAAATAGATTTATTACATTGATATATTTATTAAAATAATATCTTAGTCACTGAATATCTTTAGAAATAGAAAGATAATGCAATAAAATTCATGCAAAATATTGGGGGGAAAAATTACAAACTACAAAATTTCAACAAAACTGTTTACATTTTTTGCATCTCTTGAATTTTGCATTTTTTTTTTTTTTGCTCTGTTTTTTCCCAAACATAAATTTGTGTGTACTCATTTTAGACCGCTATCATGCAATATTTTGTTAGATAAGCTCCAGATTTGGCTTCAGTACGGACTAATGTATATGCACAAATGTAATATTGCAAAGCTTCCTATAGATGATATTCACTTAAATGAGAGATTTGTAAATGGTGTACTCATATATGCTGAGCAATGTAGCTGCAATTTTACTTTTAAAATTATTAAAAGTCCAAGTGGCATAATCCTGATGCAAAAAGTCACTTTGTTGTCATAAGCATAACCATTTTATTTTCTGCAAAATGTAATGTTTTGTCAAGACTGCCTCTAAATATGTCAAAATTTGGAGTCAAAAATCTAGTTTAAAAAAAATAATCAAGTTTGTACTAGACATCATGCCACTTGACTTTTTAGAGACATTAGATCAACTTCTTATTTTTAGAAAAACAATTCAGGAAAGATTTCTAACAACTTGACAAACTAGATAAAAACCTGTTTTCCTCAAAATCTCAATCTTGTCACTGACACAAGAATCCACCGATCATGTCGTTTTTAAAACCAAAGTCTTCAAATTTTTTTCAGAGTCTGTGCATAAAAGCATCATCATCACGATGCAGAAGTGACCTGCTCAATGATTAAATACTGCATGAACCAATCCTTCAACTACTCCAGCAGTTAGCTCCTTACCTTTGACTTGAGTCTCGTACTCTACAATGATCTCTTTATCCTTTTTGAACTTCACAGGAGGATTCGACATTTTCAACATCGAATAGAGGAAAGATCAACAATTCAGTTATGAGAGTGTTTACAAACTGGCGTATTTGAGGAGGGGGGTCTCACTACAGCGGCCAGCGCATCCCAGAGAATCTTCTTCAAGTTGATCCGGGCAGAAAAATCCCCAAAAACCAAACGCAAATGAATCCCGGTTGTAATTCCGCCGTGAACGCGATCAAAACAGAGCGCGCACGGGAAGAGTTTCCTCCCAAACAAGTAACCCTTTCCTCGGGCAATCGTCCACGGCTAGTTCCAGCAAGAGGAAAATCCAACCCTAGGAGCTGCTTTTTAGTCACCCGCCGACGGATTCCGGCAGCATTATGGCATGTTACTCTGAACTGGCGTGATTTTCAGCAGCTTTTCCTCGCGTCTAGTCGCCGGACAGTTTCACGGTTCTGACTGACCTCAAAGCAGCTGGAAAAGCAAGTGGTTGGAAATGGGAGGGATTGGAGGTGGAGGGGCGCACGTAGCGGAAACGTGGACGGGATTGACAACTTTCCTAACCAGCTGTCCCTCAAAGTCATTTTCGAGGCGTCTTTACACGGCTAGCGATTCAAAAATAGAGCATTTGGGATTTTAGTGAACAAAAGCAAACTAGTTTAAAAACTTTAAGTAAAGTGTATTTATTTTGAGTTTGTTTTGAACGCTCCTAGTTCATTATAATCGAAAAACAAACTATATGACTTCATAATAAAGTTTTAAATTAAAAAGAGTGAATATTTTTAAGTTTTAAACTAGTTTAAGCAACTCATCTGTGTGTTGTGTAGGACGCCTGGTGGTCAGTATGTGGAGTTACATGAAAAATAAATCATTGCAATTATTTTTTTGGGTGGCACAGTGGCTAGCACTGTCGCCTCACTGTAAGAAGGTCGCTGGTTTGAGTCCAGGCTGAGTCACTTAGCATTTCTCTGTGGCGTTTGCATGTTCTTCCCGTGTTTGTTTCCTCTGGGTGCTCCGGATTCCCACTGTCCAAAGACATGTGCTATAGGCATGGGTGGACTTGGTGATTTGGGGGCCCTAAGCAATTCCAGGTATGCAGCCCTAGCATTGAAACTCAAAACACTCTCTTTCTCTGTAGATATATTTTCTCTATAGATGGTTTTACTTTGTAAATAAACTGCATGTTAAAAACATATTTTAAGTGGAACCTTAATGTAATATTAAATACAATGAATTTGCAAATAAATAAACAAGCTCACAAACCATGTACAGTTAATAAGCCATACTTGTGATTACATTTTAAAATTTGCATGTGCAGTAAGGGAAGAAACGTTCCACTGGTCATGAGGGCCCCATTTAAAAAAAAAAAAGACAATAATGTTGAAATCCTAATGGTTAGACAGATTTTACAACAAATGATTTGAGCAATTATAAAAGAGCTATAGGATGGTTAATATAGGCTTCTTGGCATTGGTCGAGGCCCCCTATTTCTCCGGGGCCCTAAGCAGCTGCTTACCTTGCTCATTGGTTAAGTCCGCCTCTGGCTATAGGTGAATTGCATAAACAAAATTGGTGTGAATGAGTAGAGATAGAATTACACTTAATGCATTTCTGACATTTTACCGCATTTTTAAAGGGAGCACAAATCCAAAAATGGTCTCTATATGTTCAATAAAAAAGAAATACATTTTGTCCATAAAGTTTATATTTGGTGTGTTTTGATGATATCAGGGTTTCTGCAGGTTTCATCAAGTCAGATTTAAGACTTTTTAAGACCTTTTGAGACCATTATGAATGAAATTTTAGACTTATACAGGGCTAAACACTAAGGATTTTTTGTAATGACCCGGTTGGGCCAATGGAATTTGAAAAAAAAAAACTAATGTAATTTTTTTTTAAATCACATAATATTGTATAACAGTACAAGAAAGTTGTATATACTTTTTTCACCATAATGTTTTTTTTAATATATATAAATTTAATATTCTTAAAATATTTATTGTAAAGAATAACATAATAATAATAAAATTATATATATATACATGTGTGTGTGTGTGTGTGTGTGTGTGTGTGTGGTCCAAATAAATTGAATAGAACTGTTATAAAACCTTACATTTCTTGCCTATTTACAAATATTATGTCCACCTACTAGGGATTTGTTGTTGTTGTTGTTATCATGAGAAATGGTGTAATTGTTTTTAATTTTCTTTTCCTGGTTAGGGAATTTAATAAAGGGAATGTGCTGTAAAAACGTCTAACAGCTGTTGTGAATTGGATCTCTTTGCAATAAAAGACTGAAATACATATAAATAAAAATATATATATAATTTATTGAATGGATAGCCGTCGGCCCGATTAGTTAACTTTACTTGGAGAACCTTAAAATTAAGACCTGTTTAAAATGATTTAATGATTTAAGTTGGTGGCCCATTATGCTGTGGCGACCCCTGATGAATAAAGGGACTGAAGAAATTGAAGAAAAATGAATGTTATCTCTGCAAAAATGATATTATTGTTACGCAGCGCCTCTTACAGGACAGCTGTTTTATTGCAAGACCTTTAGTGAATTTCTTATAAACAGTTTTAAAAGGTTAAGAGCATAATTTTTGCAACAAAAAAATCTTTTACAATTTTTGGAAATGATTCAGCATGCTTTCGTCTTTTATTTGTGTTACCTTTACTAAAACAATAATTAATTTGTAGGTTTTTTTAATCATCATTAAAGTAAAGAGGTAGAACATATACAATTACATACACAAAGACAAATGATACAAATGAAAAACTGCACAGAAATGTACACAAAAATAATAAGATAAAGCTTTACTTTAAAGAGACACAAAGGAAGAATATAAAGATACAGTTTTCGTTGCTTTTGGATTAAAAAGGGTGCTGGATAGTTTCCAATTATTGCTGTAGGTCAATTTTAAATGAATCAAAAAAGATTTAGAACCACCAAACTTTTGTTTGCTAATATGAAACTTGGCTAATAGAATACATAAATAATTATATGCTTATATTCTTTAGAATCGTCAAACAACCCAAAGAAAACATCTTTAAAAGAAAAGGAAAAGTCGCTCATAATATTAGACTGAATAAACATCAACAGATCTGACCAGAATCTCAGCCAGGAGCACTGCCAGAACAAATATACAATCCGAAGAGGGATAAAAGGAGCAGCTCACATCAATGTCAGACTTGTATTTCTGAAGACGGGCCTTAGTAGGATAACATTTGTGAATTCATTTATTTGTTACTTCTTTTACTTTATTAGTAATCATATGCTGTACTTGTGAAGCAAAGTCTATAATTTCTCCCATGAAATATTTTCAACAGTGTTGTTTCAATAAGATAATACATTTATATATAGTTTTACAAATGCAAAGTCAGACTTTTAATTTGTAAAAACAGATTATTGATCGATTAAGACATATAAATACAATATAATTATTTAAATTACAAAATGTAACCTTTTGAAGCCCCTATTGTCCACAGTATTACTCAAAGTCATTAAGCTTCACATTGACATTTTATAATGTATGCTTTATCTGAACGTCGCCACTGTCTTTGCAACTGAAAATGTAGATTTATATTTAAATATTTTATATTGAAGTACATATCAGAACCCCTTCAGCACTGTGTTCGTAGTCTAAATGCTTGATAATTTAAAATCAGACAAGGTTAAGAATACAAACAGGTTAAAAGTTATTTAATTGCATTAAGCTGAATCAAAAAAAAACATTCAAGTGAGAAAAATGAAATGTTAAAGCCCAATTAAGCTGCCATTATTATTATTATTTTTTTTCATTGAAACGTGAAGACTTAATAAATAAAAATGTACAGTAAACATGGAAGGCGTTAATGTACTGCACAGTAGAGTATGGTAAACCAGGTTATATTAAAACATACAGTAGCATTTCATTGTTTCACAAGTAAAACATCAAGGTAAACAAACCTAATATGTCTAAAATTAAGTGACAATCTAAATGTTGATGCACAGCATCTGCTCACCATCTTTTTAATCTATTATATATTAAAAGAATAGTAAAATATAATACCATATAATATAATAGTACCACCATAATTTACTCACCCTCATGTCATTTAAAACCCAATGCTTTTCTCTGTTTTTAAAGTGAGTTCACCCAAATATACTCACTCTCAGCTCATAATCCAAAAATAAGTGAACACTCTCAGGACACTTTGTTGAAGCTGCAGATTAAAGGAAATAATTGTGAAAATAATTTTTTGTTTCATAAGAGCTCAAAGTATCGTCAAGAACCACAAGTATTCATTTTGGTTTGCCTGGATACATTTCTTTACTCACTAAATGGCAGTAGTCATTAGCTGTTTCCATCAACCTATTTTTATTCACATTTTGCATATCCGCGTAAAAAAAAAACGGGTGATGGTAATGCCAAGATACGCATAAAATTTGAAAATGCGCATAAAAACATCTGCGCATAACTGAGTAGGATAAACTTTTTATTTGATAAGAGGAGCATGAACTGCGATGGAAACCGAACAAATTCCAGTATGTGCATAAAAAGGTCATGTGGTTTTGTTACAAGAGACCATGTGGTGATAAAAATGTGTGTGAATGGACAAACCAGCAGGCTGAGCAAATTGTAAACCATCTGAAATGTGGCTTTGGTCATTGTAAAATGCATGCAGTAACCATTTTAGTATTAGTGAAGTTATATATTCGTAATGGGGCGAGGCAGTGGCGCAGTAGGTAGTGCTGTCGCCTCACAGCAAGAAGGTCGCTGGTTCGAACCTCGGCTCAGTTGGCGTTTCTGTGTGTAGTTTGCATGTTCTCCCTGCCTTTGCGTGGGTTTCCTCAGGGTGCTCCGGTTTCACCCACAGTCCAAAGACATGCGGTACAGGTGAATTTGGTAGGCTAAATTGTCCGTAGTGTATGAGTGTGTGTGTGTGTGTGTGTGTGAATGTTTCCCAGAGATGGGTTGCGGCTGGAAGGGCATCCGCTGCGTAAAAACTTGCTGGATAAGTTGGCGGTTCATTCCGCTGTGGCGATCCCGGATTAATAAAGGGACTAAGCCGACAAAAAAATGAATGAATGAATATTCATAATGACCTCCAGGACTGTAAAGAGCATCTGTTGATTGCTTGTCGTCTTCTTTGAGGTGAAAGTCATTTATTAAATAAGAAAAAGATTCACGCAGCTTTTCCTACCTCACCAAATTCTGATTTTACTGTTGATATTTGGTGGCAGTTAATTAGGAAATGACGATTTTGTTCTCTTTGAAACGTTGGATGGAAACGCAGTTTTATTCGCACGTCTTTTATGCGATGATCTAGTTTTGCGCATAAATTTAATTCACATTTTTGGATGGAAACATAGCTATTGACTAGCATTTATGAATCACAGTTTCACCTAAAAATATACTTTCATGGACTACACTGTAAAATGTTTTAAATGTAAACTATTACTTCAACTTGTTGCACCTAAAATAATTAAATTAAAATGAAAAATAATTAATAAATAAATAATAATTAAAATGAACACTATTTTTGAAAATAGGCAACTTGCCTAGAGTCAAAT